TGGGTTCTTTAGAGCTGCCCTATACTTGATAAAACTTTCCCTTTAACTTGACAAGAGTTATGCCTCCTTATTTAGCACTGGAATGAAAGTAGAGGCAGATGTCTCAGATTTATGCACCTCTCATTGAAAGCTATTGGAGTATTTGGCCTTGTAAAAACACGAACAAGAGAAATGCATTTCTCTTATCCTTGCGGAGCATCCAGCCCATCGTTCTTCTTGCCAAGTGGCCTGAGGAGAACCAAAAACACGCTGAAATTAAGTGACTTTTGTTTATATTTCCTTCTTTCTGCCCCACAGATGCAGCAGGTATTAATCTGCTTGATGAGGTACTGCTGGCCTGGCGAGGGTATCCCTGCCTGCTGGAGGACAGAACAGTGCACTGCCAGGCTCAGCAGATACCCTGCAAACAAAACAATGCTCTTGTGAGAACATGTTTTTCTTCTTCTTATGGGGTATTCCTCCCTGCTGCTGTTCTAACAAACATACTCAATAACAGTCACGGGCAAGCTTTGGAAAGTCAGGTTCTTCCCAACCTGCAAGAGAAAAATACTGACATTTCCCATTCTCTCCTTGAAATATAGTTGGCATTCATTTATTCAACAGTTATTTGTTAACGGGTTCTTGTGGACCAGCCACTCTACTACCGCTTGAGCTACCAAGACTAACAGCACAGTCCTAGAGAATTTGAAAGCATAAATTAGAGAAGAAAGGATAATCATGATACTCTGGGTGTGATGGTGCATGCTTGGAACCCCAGCACTGCGGGAAGCTGAGGCAGGAGGACTGCAAGTTTGAGCCCAACTTGGGGAATTTGGCAAGATCCTGTCTCCAAATAAAAAGAAAAGTAAAAAGGGTTGGGGATGTAGGTAGTGTGAAGGCCCCAGCACTGCAAAATAAATAATAGACATTTTTTTTAAAAAGGGGCTGGAGATACAGCTCAGTGGTGGAGTGCTCTTGGGTTTAATACACAGTAAACAATCACCATCATCATCACCATCATCACCAAGCACTCTCAAGAGTACCGCAGGCATAGGCTGAAACAAAAACCAGCTGAAGACCTGATCGTGACTTTACGCTGAATAGTCTCTCAGAGATTGGGCAGATAAATATCAAACAATGGATGTTCCAAGAAGCCAAAACTTTTTTTCCTGTTTTTAATTCTATCAAGACTTGCAATAAGGACTCCTAACAAATATTTATTAGCTATTAAATAAGCAAGGGGCTGAGCCATTGGGAACAGTGACTTTCTTAGGTGGGAACCTTCTCTATTTTTATTGCCAGGCGGCTTGTTTAGCTTTCCTTGACAGTATTTGCCCACAGAGTAGGCCACTCCATCTTTGCTCAGTTCTGACAGGAAATTCTTCCTCATACTGTGCACAAACCCACCCCCTCAACCTTCTGCTCACAAATGGGCATTCTGCCCTCTGGGACCTGCTGAACACACTGAGCAGTCCCCTCACTACCACTTTCTTCTTTTTTGGACAGGGTCTCACTATGTAGCTCAGGCTGGCCTCAAACTCCATGTAGCCTAGGCTGGCCTAGAACTCACAGTGATCCTCCTGCCTCAGCCTCCCGAGTTATGGGATTACAGACACGCACTAACACATACAGCCTACCACTTTCTTCCTTGAAAACTTGAAGTTTTCAGAGAAGTTGAGGAAAACAGAACAATTAAATAATATCTACCCCTGTATATGCACTTCTTCTGTTCACCAATCACTAGTAGTTTCCCATATTGGCTTCTTCATCTCTACTTCTGTTTCTATCCTCTTAATTATTTGAGATTAGATTCTAAACATTAGATTACATCTACTCTCCTCCAAGAATGGTATTCCTATTTTATACCTACTAAAGTAAGACAGAGATCTAAACTTTCCTGACTGCCCCCTCTCCAATTCATTTTTTGAGATTTTTTTTTTTAACTCTAAGATTTTTTTTTTAAATATGCCTATTGCATTTGGTTGTCCATGTCTCTTCAGTGTCTTTTAAAATATTTTCCCAGCCTTTTTGTGTGTGTGTTTTTTTCTTAAGTTGCTAGAACTACTCTGCATGTGCTATGTGTGTGCACCACTGGTGGCATCATCTGGACACACGCACTGCCCGCTTGTCTCCCAAGGGATGGTAAACACACTGACAACTTCACTAAGGTGCTGACCACTGGAACCCCATTAAAAAGGTGAAATTCACCCTTCTACAATTAAAAACTAATCTGTGGGTGGTATTTTAAGACCATGTGAATATCTGCGCCCCAACAACTCTTTACAAAAGTATTAGCTGCCACTGATAATCTTGTCTAAGTCAACTATTGAGAACCGCCAGATGGTAATATTCTATATTCTGAATTGTAAAAAATTCCTTCTATATGAATTTTTAAACATCCATTTGTTTGTTTGTTTTGCAGTACTGGGGAATGAACCCAGAGCCTTCACACCAAACTACATCCCTAGTCTTTATTTTTGATTCTGAGACAGGGTCTTGCTATGTCACTAAATTGCCCAGACTGAGACTGAACTTGTGAACCCCAGCCTACATCTCCCAGAGACGGAGGAGGTCCATGCTGTGATTATAGGCATGGACTCCCGTGCCTGGCCAAACATCCACAGAGTTACTCCATTGCCTTTTCCCTTCTGATACTCACAGTGTCCCAAACTTGGCCACTGAGTGTCTTGAAGCTGCCACCTCGTTCTGTTTTTTTTTTTTTTTGGAGTAACCCATTAATTGAATACTTCCTAGCTTTTTATCTCAATAGGAGTCCAGGCTCATCCTGCACTCCCCCTGCCCTGTGATTCTAGTAGACTTTCTCACATACCCAGCTCTAGGTATTTGAGGCCATTGACTTTTTCTTCATCTCAAATACCTCCCCAAACTTGCACCACTACGCTAAATTTCCCTAATTCTTTATATTGCACTTCCTGATTTAGCGTTGACTTTCTCCTTCGCATTTCTTTCATCTTTGCTGCCCCAACTCAACTGCTAGACTAGAGGCTCCATCCTGGCTATGCATTAGAATTACTGGGAACCTGCTTAATATACAGATTTTGAAGTTATTCCAGACTACTGGAGTAGACTCCCTAGAGCAGGACATGAGATTTTGTTTACTAAGCTCCCCACGTGACATCAACAGAGCAATTTAGGGTGTACGTGAGCTTTTCCAAGGCCTTGTAAACCTGGAATTGGATACACTGTAAAAATCTTTTATATAACTAGGTAGAAAGTGTGGTTTGAGAGATACCACCTTTACTTGTATTATGTATTAAACTTACTTCATGGTAAGCAAATCAATGCAAACTCTTCTGGAGGGAGGTGGAGGCAATCATAACGTTTTTGACTTATGATGAATTTATGAAGAGCTAAGTCTTCAAGATTTTTCCAATATACTGCTGAAGTTAATCTTCCCCATCTTTTTATGTTCTACTGGTGTTTCAGTATAAGTATTGACACGAAATATTACAATTTATAGTACTCAATTCATTTGAACCTTCAGTATGTCAAAGTTCTTATGAATGGGGTTTTATCATCCCAAGTATTTTTTTTCCCTACCCTTCCAACTTAAATATGCAATTATGCTCTCAAAGTTTTCTCTTATGCAGCATTTTTGGAGCTATTTTTGTAAACTACTTTAAAATCAATCTTACAAAGTGCAAGTGGACACAATTTATATGTTTGTTAAAACTCCTAAGATCACACACAGAGGAGTGAATTTTAGTATATACCTGAAATATACCTGAAGAAAAAAAATCAGTCAATATTCTAAATATCCAGCTACATGTTTTCCTCAGATTAGTTCTCACTAACCTTTTTGATAATTTCTAAAAAATACATTTTTATTCTAAGTAATGGAGTTATCAGAGAGTTTATATTTTTATTCACTGAGGTCAGTGCAATATGGAGTTTGATCCTTTGACCAAGGATTTGTTTTACCAGAGTTTGAATCTAATGAATGGATTATTACCACTTTATCAGTTGTCACAATGGAAAAACCCCAACAAAACAAAACAAAAAAGTGATGGAATATGGAATAAGAAGGAATTATTATTAGAAAAATTATAATCTTTCATAGAATGATTAAAATTTCTATTATAGTTGGAGGGAGAAAGAGGGAAGTGAAAAGAACTAATATGTATTATACACACATACCAGCCTCCCATGATGAATGTAATCATATGTATTGCAAACATGTACTAAGAAAATTAAAAATTTTAAAAAATATGTATCTAATTTAGCCTGTCAGTCTTACGTAGGAGAGAACATTAGACATATTTCTACTTTTACAAGTTTGAAAAGGTTTTAAGGAATACTCTTCAGTGCCAGTGAAGGCTGGGTGAAACATTTTTAGTGTAGGTGTGAAGCTTCAGAGGTACACCTTTCTGGCCATCTCAAATTACTGAAAGAATGTAAAAGAATTCATGTGTGTCTGTGTGTGCATGTGTGTTATAAAAAGTATAGAAAGAAACACAACAAAATCTTAGTGTTAGCCATCCACTTTTGATTGGTGGAAGGCAGAGCAGATATTGTTTTTTCATTTTTTGTATTTTTAAAAATATTTTCTGAGTTTTTACAGTGAGATATTGAGGTTTTGCTTCGTTCTGTTTGCAGTGCTGAAGACTGAACATAGTACATTCTAGGCAAGTAGCTCTATCGCTGAACTATACTCTCAAGCCTACATTAGTTGTACAATTAGGAAAAGAGTAATATAAATTTGTAAAAATACTTATTACAAGGACAGCAAAATAAGTCACAAAAGGAAGCAAATGAAAATCATCTTTTATGAATATATATCTGTCACTGATAGGAATTCTAAAAGTAAAACATGTCTTCCAAAAAGGCGGTAATTTTATAAAGAAAATTTTTTCAGAGAAGGAAAAGTATTTCCCTTGTGAAGCTTTTCTAAATGCCACAGAAGGTTCCAGTACACAGTAACACTTGGGTATTTGTACTGCCTCCAATATTTTTCAAATAAGAAACTTTATAAAGAATCATTAAATACTGTAAATTCATACCTGGAAGAACGATGCTCTGGTTTATTTCGTTCGTTGCGATCTGCAAAGAAAGAAGACCGTTTTAAGTCAAATGCTCTTAAAAAGCTGTTGAAAAAAGTTCTTCAGTTCCAGCTGCCATACCATTAGGTGTCACAAGGGAGCTGTGTCCTTCCCTGAACAGTGCTCCTCCTTGGAGTGGAGAGGACTTGCTAGTAAGGAGGCAGAAAGGACACAACGAAGGACAGGAGCAGGAACTTTTTATGGTTTGTTAAAATCATCTACTTGGAAAACACATCATTCACAAATATTATTTCATTTAAAAGATCTTTGCTCTGTTAAATACTTTGTGGAAGCCAAAAAAGATTTAGCTAGGAGAGGAAAGTAAGGAAACAGAAGAGCCACAGATTACTCAGCTCAAAAAAATCATTCCATGAATCATGGTTGGCAGAAGATTTTAACAGAATGGGGAGGGGAAAAAAATGAGCAATCAGCTACAACATCTGCAAATACACCAAGGCCAGAACAGCCTCACCCTTAACTCTCTATAATCCAGAACATACAGAAGTTGGGACTTCAGTGTTTCAGTAGTAATTAGATATATTTCTTTCTTTCTCTTTCTCTCTCTCTTTCTCTCTCTCACACACACACACACAAACAAGCTTTTTGATTGTCTACCCGGGGAAGGAGCTTTGGTGGGTAAAGACCAGAAATGCTAAGTGTCCTGCAGTGCTCAGGGAACCCCCAAACAATTATTTCATACCACATGCCAGAAGCGTCAAATGTGAGGAACCTTGGTAGAGGATATGAAATGAGAGCAAAGCTGCCCGACATTCAAAAGTACTTTGCTAGATTGCTACAAAACGCTATTAGTTAACTTGAAGACTATCAAATACAGGAGAACCACAAAAACCACTCAAAGACTTTACTTGTTTATTTTTTGAGACAGGGTCTCACTATGAAGTTCAGGTTGGCCTTGAATTCACTATGCAGCCTAAGCTGGCCCTGGACTTGCACTTATCTTCCGGCCTCAGCCTCTCGAGTACTGTTGTAACTATGTGTAGTTACAACATGCGTAACTATACCTGGTAGTCTTAAAAATCTGAGTAATAAGTTTTCTGGTATTTGTTTAATAATAAAAGACTAAAGTTAAAAACCAGTGTTATGGAAGAATTAACAATAGAAGGCAATATACAAACCATAACACAGTTCTATGCAATTATAAAATCCTATGGAATATTATCAAAATAGTTTCCTAGAGTATCTTGTAAGTTAATGCTAGCAAGACAGAATTTAATGGCAAAGCCTGGATTAGACAGATACTCTTTTTTTACCCTTAATTTCATTGCTGGTAGAGCTATATAAATATTATGATGAAAATGTACTCTAAAAACTTCTAGAGAAATATGAAGGGAAAAAAAGGAACAGGGCTTACACACTTAAATGTATGTACCAATTCTTTCTAAATGGGTTCATAATAAAAATTTTTTTTTTAAGCCAGAGAGTCAGTACACACGAAGACACTGTTTTCTGAAAGATTAACAAGTAGAAAGATTCACAACAAAATATGTTTGTTTAAATATAATGCTATCCAAGTGCATAGTGTTGATGCTTCTGGTTCTAATTTCTCTACATTGATTTAACATTACAGCATCTTTTAAAACTTTGTCTTAAGTTTTACCACTCCCTTAAATAAAATTCTGGTTATATTATAGTAATTTTTAAAAACCATTCCTTTCTCGGTTTTAGTCTGTTAGTTTTGCTAACAAAAGGAACACTAGAAACTGGACAGAGATCAGTCATCCTCATATAACAAAACAATAACTCTTACCTGTGGCTACAGATGAACTAAAATTCTACCCAGAATGTCACCTGCTGTGGCTGTGACCCTAGATTCGTATAGTTTATTAGGCAGAAGGGAGAAACAGGCGCATGATGCATGTAAATAAGCCTCAGCATCCAAGGGCTTCCCTCAGGACCCATTCTGATTGGCAGATGTGTTGTGACCAGTTTGCACAGCTGGAATGCAGCCACTCAGGAAGTGAATGGCTCGAAGCGCTCCTTCACTCTTGGTTACAACAGGAAATTCTACAGTCATTTTTACACTTTCTGCTCTGAGAAAATACAAATGCCTTCCCATAGTACATCTCTATTGAACTAGTAAATAAAATCCAAGAAAATAACTGTTAGAGGACATTTTGCTTAGTGTTATGGTTCCTATGTAAATATGCACAGTGCTTATTATATATTATTCCGAGGAGCCTACATAATTGATAATTTGAAGGTCAGGGTAAATTACCCATTACTTATAATATTCCCCACTCCTCATCTCTTGACAATGGAAAATAAACTGAAACACATGTTCGTTCTCAGCTTTGTCTTTTTTCTCAAAGTACACAAATAACTGGATTTTGTCAGAGAACCAAATCCTAGCTTGAATGTACATAAATATGTGGCAGATAGTGTCTGTGTGTAGTGTGTATCTGTCTTGCACTCTTGTGCTTTAAAAATATGTATTTTAAGTAATTTTTATGATAGCCGAGAATATTGTGCAATTTTGAAGAAATATATTACAGGAAATGTGAAGTTTCTGGCAAAATAATAAGTTGTTATTATTTTGGTCCAAAAGCCAAGACTGAGAAAAACAAATCACTGAGGGAAGATTTGGGATTGGCTTTTTTGCCAAAAATAACAAAATATTTAGATAAAATCCCCTTAAGAATGAGAACAGATCAACAGCAACATAGAAATACCATCTTGGCTATATACAGTGCTTTTGGAGTATGAACTTTATTTATTTCAAATCAAATACTCTTTAGCACATTCCCTCAATTTGTTTTAGAGTTTCTAATTTTGAAAAAATTAGGAGAAAATATACTTGTAGGGACATTCTGAACTTTTGCATATTTAGAAATCATATGAATAACTTACTAGCTCAAAGTCTCACTTACTAAAAATGTTATTAAAAACAAAATGCTGTGACTCTTCAAGTTTTCTGCCAAACACTGCACATAATATATTAACTCCAGGGACCCACCAAGCAGAGTATGTGATTTAGTTCACTCAGAACATTCTCAGTGTGAGGGTAAGCACGGGTGAAGAACTATGTAAAGTCTGTTGGCTTTGAAGACCCGTGTATATCACACATGCGCACACACAGCCCTTGTTACACCCATCCATGCCCCTTAGTCCATAAAGCTAACTGCAGCAGTCGAAAAAAACCTGCAAGCAGAAAACAAAGCCAAGCTGCCCCAGTCTGTTGATGGCTCTCTATAGGTAAATATGGGACAACGGACACTGGCAGGAGTGAATTGAGGGGACTGGAGAACAACTGAGCGAGTGGTAAGAAGTCTTGTAGGTCAGAGACTCTGGTGAGACTCCAGATTATCCACATTTTCTTTTTTTTTTTTTTTTGGTTTTTCTCTGGTACCGGGAACCGAACTCACGACCTTGCACTTGCCAGGCAGGCGCTTTGCCGCTGAGCTAAATCCCCGACCCCCAGATTATCCACATTTTCCTTTTGTGATAACTTCTAGTTCTAAGTAATCTAGGTATATATGATTCCAATGTTTATGTACTTAGGTGTTATATCACTTACACGGGAAGGAGTGCACACTGGCAGGAGCAGTTTTGTGGGAACGGCCAGACAGATTCTACTGATTTGGAATCATACGAGTTGATTCTGAATCTAATAATGACAAACATTTTGAAGTGGAGATGGCAAAAATGTAAATGGCCAACTCAGAACCTACCAGAAGAACCTGTTCAGGCTTTGACGATTTGGCTTAATCACTTAACTGAAAAAAAACAACCAAACCTCACTGAGTAGGGGATATAGGAGAGATACAGCTCCCAACCTTGGTGTAAAGTTCATGTTCCCTGAAATCAAAGAATAAATTCCAAGAATGATGGAGATTAAGAGTGGGAAAGATTTATTGAGAGAGGAAACAGGACACACGCAGGTGCTAAAGGGAATGAGGTGCACACAGTTGGGAGCTGGGGAACGGGAAACAGGAATAGCTGAGAGACAGGAGGAGTCCCGAATGGGCTGCTGCCAAGATCATCTCTCTGAGAAAGTTTCACAGAACAAAGTCATGAAGTGGGTACAATGTGGATTAAACTGTAAACAACCAATAAGATTACAAGTATAGCCGTTTAGCTAATTTTGATCTAACAGAGAAGTAGGACACATAGCAAGGGCATGTGGATGACATTATTAACCTTGGTGGATATTCTGTAGTCTTAATTGTTTCAGGCTTAGTCTTGGTGGGAGAGGATAACCCACTCCTACTGAGATAATGGTCTAATTCTATGGGAAATCCCAAAAAGGTGTTAGCAATTACATAAACCTCAAACTTCCGTTTATACCTCAGGGAAGTATGTGAATCTGGCTATTGTGACTTTAATCTCGAGGTCTTGCCTTCTTCAGATGAGCCTCCACCAGTTTTTTTTTCTTCCACCACAGTTTTGATGTGTTCTCATCTTCTGCACCAACTCCTTGAGGGCCTAACCCTGTCTGACTGCCTATTAATTTTTATCTAATTTAGCTGCTTGTAATACAGGGACTGATTTAACACTAAAGTCAGAAGTTTAGAGAAGCTGTGAACTGTTTTTTAAAATTAGGAGCAAGACTCAAACTCCATGATGAATATATAGATATATACTCACAATAAAGGAGGAGGTAGGGTTTTTTTTTTGGGGGGGGGCCTTTTTGAGACAGGGTTTTACTATGCAGTTCAGGTTGGCCTTAAACTCACTTTGTAGCCCACGGTGGCCTTGAATTCAGTAATCCTCCTGCCTCAGCCACCAGAGTGCTGGGATTATAGGCATGCACCACCATGCCCAACTGATAGGCTTGTATCTCATATGGAACAAAATTTCTCTTTAGGAAGAGTATGATCTATAAAGACATTCTGTAGCATACTTCAAAAGCATTATCATCAAGTTCCAACCTGGGAGCGTGAGTGTGTGCATTTTTTAAAAGGGTTTTACTATGTTAAGTAGGCTGGTCTCAGACAATCCACCTGCTTCAGTATCCTAAAGTAGCTGGGACTACAGGTGCAC